GGGCAAATAAATGTTGTTAGATATCATTATTCATAAACGTGTACATATTATTATTCGATTCCTAACAATAATTACAAACGGTATAAAAAAATATTTGTCCAGAAGATTCGCATAAATTATAAAAAAAGGATAACTAATTATTCATTGTACTTATAATGAATAATTTCTTGTTTCTCATATCTAATCAATTGCAGCGAGTGATTAGGAATTTTATTTTACCTGATAAATTAATAGTCTAAATATATCACCTGCTTCAGTTATTGTTTAAAACATAATAACGAAACATTATAAAAACGTTTTATATCAAAAAGATAAGATCTTCCACCGCCATAATCTGATTTGCATCTGTCATGGTGTTAATAGCGGCATTAATTTCATCGGATGTGAAGTTCAGAGAAAGTGTTGTGTTTAGATGATCGATGACTTCTGTCTTTGGAATATTCTGAACTCTGCGTTCTTGGAACAATTTATTAAGTGACGACTTGAAGACTGCAAGTCTAAAATTAGAAAGAAATTAAAAATACTATACTTTTTATTACTATATATTATTATACTTAATAATTATACTTTCTCTGCAACTTTAATTTTTTTGTTTTAACAGACACGTAACAGAATAAAAATATACAAGTAACATGTTGAAAATATTTAAAGCGTAAAGAAAAAGTCAGGCGAGGGAAAATCATTTATTTAATTACTTAGTTAACTTTAATTATTAAGTTAGATTATATTAATTTTGTCATTATGTAATAATTATATAAACGAAGTTTATATGACTATTTAATTAATGATTCTGCTAATTCATAAAGCATAATTAATTTAACAAAAAATTACCTTTCCTGCGTGATTGTCGCTGTTTGAGAAACGGTGGTTGTTTCGGGAACGGAGGATTCCGGACCTTCGGTCTCTGTGCTGTGCGACTCCGTGTGCGTGCTGGGTTTTTGTGACCTGGTTATTCTTCTTGTTGCTTGTTCGATATATTCGTCATCACTATCGTATTCGTATGGATCGACTTCTCCCTCTTTCATCTTTTTAGAACGCTTCGCCTGCCTGTTCTCCTCTATCTCGTCTGCAGCTTCCGACGCGTCGCTATCATGACGTCGCCGCTTTCTCTTTTCTTTCTCCAGCACGCGTTTGAAGTAAGCGAACTGTACGAGCTCTATCGCGGCGTGTGCATCCTCGCTCTCCACGTTCTTCGAGAGTCGTGCTTTCGCGTGTGCCGTGGACAACCGAATCAACGTTTCCAGAGTTCTCGCGGTCACCGGTTGAGTCTGGTAGTTATTCCAAAAAATGTCATGCACGCACTTGTATATTTTTAAAATTAAAATCTGGGGTTTTCCTTCTACTCACCCTCGCAACATCGGATTCCACCATATCTTCCGATCGAAGTTTCGAATATTCCTCTGCGATAACGGCACTGGCCTCTTCCGTGAGCTTGGGTTTCATGCATCGTGCAATGTGTATGTATTTTCTCATGAACTGTATGGCGAGAATCTGGTCGCTGAGAAAGAAATTCGAAACATAAGTTTCTTGTACAAAATCTACGCAATTAGAGTTTCATATTGTTGTAAGATCAATCGAATCAAAATCTCGATTCAATCTAGATTCAATGTAATAAAATATAATATAATAAAAGTGGATTACTTTTTAGAACGCGTTTGCCCGTGTAGAAGTGGATCGTATTTCTGGTAAACTTGGGACTGGGTCTCCTCGGTAGCTACATCATCCGGATTTTTCGTAGTCAACATGTCCAACTTTGAGCCCAAGCTCAGAGCCTCCCCGTCCTGTTCCAGAGGACTTCTGTATCGATGCATTCGGACGACGTGATCGCTAATTATATGATCCTGATCTGAATCAATTATGTCCAGCACAACGAAGAGCAAATCGAAACGCGATAATAGAGAATCTTGCAGGCCGATATTCTCCATGGGAGTTTTATACTGATCGTACTGAAAATGTGGAGCTTTCATTAAATAATATTCACATATTTCTTAAAATCAATTTAATAATTAACATATTAATATATTACTCTATTTATTATATATTACATTTTATGAGTAATTACAATTTTTAATATGGAAATATTTTTGCTAAAAGGCGAATCCAATTCAAGCTTATTTTTCGTAAATTGCACAGAAATCTATAAGTTTAAATTTTATCATTAAACAGAATCAGATACAAATAGCTTTTTCAAAACGATCCGAACTTACTCTCCCGTACACAGGATTCGCGGCCGCTAGTACCGAACAGCGCGCATTCAGGCTGGCGTGAATTCCCGCCTTGGCGATCGTGATTCTTCCCTGTTCCATCACCTCGTGTATCGCCGTCCTATCAATGTCCGACATCTTATCAAATTCGTCGATGCAAATGACACCGCGGTCCGCCAAGACCATCGCGCCCGCCTCTAATCTGCGTTCGCCAGTCTCTTGATCGACTGTAACCGCTGCTGTTAAACCAACGCCGGAAGATCCTCTTCCAGTGGTTGGAATTGCTCGTGGAGCAGTACACAACACATAACGTAGTAGTTGCGACTTGGCCACTGATGGATCTCCAATTAGTAATACATTTACGTCTCTGTAATATATATCAAAAAGATCCGATTATATTATTACACAATCATCATTAATGAATACTGTGATGTGCACAGAGCTATTGAGGATTTTGTAATCTGTTTTTCAGTATGAAATCATAAAGAATTGTGCAAAAGCTTACCCTCGCAACCTCGTACCGTTTGGTAAAATCTTCTCCACTCCACCCAAAAGGAGACACAGAATCGCTTTTTTTATATATTCATTGCCGTGTATGGATGGCGCAAGGGACTTGGCGAGAAGCTCGAAGATATTCTTGCAGGGGTTGTTCTTAGCTAGTTTCTTGCACATAGTTACGTCGTCATGGGTAATCGCAAGATTAGCTTCCTTACTCAGTTGCATTATATTGTTAGCGATAAGGACCGTCCTATATAATTATTGCGGTAAGTTTTGAGATAAAGATATACGGATTATGAGACCTAATTAAACTGGGAAACAATTCTCGATTCTTGTCTGAAACATACTTGAAAGTTCCGGTTGTATATCCGCCTTGTTTTCCCGGTAGACATCGGTAGTTTCCAACAATCTGCACTCGATCTCCAGGCTTGCATAAGTCCACTAGATCGTTATCACAAATTACATCCACACTTCGTGGTAATTGACCGGCTGGAGCTTTTTCCGGCATCTCCTGTATAGTGAGCGTCTGATGATCCTTGTAAGTCGACAAACCAAATTCCGTTTCAAGCGGATTGCCGGCTTCATCCTGTTACGCAGAGAAACGAATCTTCAAACTAAATACCACAAATACTTCTTTAAATATTTCATTTAAATGGTAGGAATAATTACAGTAGTTGGATAAACAGCAGAGTGGGGAAATGCTTCCAAGGAAGTTAGATCTGAATAGGCTCTTTCCAGGACTGTTTTGGTCACGTCACAGTAATGGACGCTCCTCACAACTTTCGGTCGTACTAATGAACCTACGATAGACATTTTTATTTAAAAAATGATATTTTAAATATAAATTTTATAAAACTCGACAAATTTAATACACGAATAAATTAAATATATCTATTAAAAGAGAATGATAAAGAGAATCTGATAAATTCTATAAATAAGTCTAAGCAGAAATTAAATTTGCTTTTTCAGATATCTTTATTTCATAAATGTGACGTTATTCTATAAATATAAATTTTTCATAAAACTTGACAAATTTAACACGAATAAATAAATTAATACAAAATTAATACAAGATTATATAAACAGGTTCAGATAAATTCTATAATTCTATGCAGAAATTAAATTCTTTATTTTTTTCTTGGATACTTGCATTTTGTGACAATACCCTCCATACACACCAAGTTACCCAGGAAACGAGAAGTAAGCGTTCTAGGTGTGACATGCTTGTTTCCAAAGCTGCCCTCGAAAGCTACAAAAAACTCTTTATTGTTCTTAGCGTAATCAATGTCTATGCTCGAGATATATTGTTTCAGGGCATTCTGAAATGCCAGTTGCTCCTCGAAGGAGTTATTCAACAGACTGCAACACAATCGAATCTTATGATTTATCATTAATATTACAGTTTACGTAATTTGTTCATGCTGTACATTGGCAAGAATTAAAGAGACAAATCTATTATATACCTTGCTGTACGGGCAGGATTTTTTCTTCTTAAATCATTGATGTTTACGACCAATCTGTTTTTATCTTCATGAATCATATTCTTAATCATAGTGGCATATATGCTTTGATCTTCCTACAAAAATAACGAGCACAAGGATTTCATAAAAATATCAAGCAAAAACAAAACATCATTTATGGTTGTTCTACAATGTACTCTTTTTTCCTGTTTCTTGCTGTTTGTCTCTTGCCTTTTGGTCAAAAAGCCAAGAGACAAACAGCAAGAAACAGGAAACAAAGAGCACATTGTAGAATGGCTATTAGTGTAGTAATGTGACATTTACTTCTAATAATGCCATGTGACTTGGCAAGTAAGGATGAAGTTACATATCCATCCAAATACTTATATTTCTTACAGGGATTTAATAATTATTTTTCGTTTAACACACTGTATATTTTTTTCATAAGCAAAAAAATTTATTACGGAGGATTAAAATACAACTAAAAATTGTAGCCAAGTAAACGTTATAAACAACAAATTTTGACGATACTTACCGCATCGTCCAAAAAATCAACATATTCGCGTGTTATTTGTTCCAGATTCTGATCGAATTCCGTATCCATTTTTGCGGCGGGCGATCGACACTTATCGCGCTGTAAATTCTGGTAAAATAAACAAGTACTTGCGAAATCCGAAACCCTTTGCGAGAAAAGCTGGAGAAGCAACTCTCTGCCATTTACGCGGGAAAACACATGCGAGCCAAATCGTTGCGCCGAAAAAACCCCAGTCGTTCCACGTGCTAATTTCTAGGGAATTTTTTCCCAGGTTTCTCGAACTGTAACGTTTTAAAAATGGCGACGACATGTTTTGACGGTATGCTTGAAAGGTTATATTTTAGATTGTGGGTGTCCAGTTCGCCAGGTTGAGCGGGTTGAGCTTTGGCTTTGTTTTAAATCGTTCGTGGAAACGTCAGAGAAATACACGATGGCACAAAGCAGACTGGAGAAAATCGGCACTATATATACCAGGTGAGTCCACATTCAAAATTGTTTTAGAAATTAAAATAGCAATTGTTAACGAACTGCAGCGAAATCAATGTTTTATTATTTTATCTTGAATTAATTAGAGAATCTTGATATTAAATCGTTTATGCATTATCTTTAGAACTTAGGTCTACAAATTTTCTCTTTAGAACTTCTCTTTAGAATTTAATTCTCTACCCTGGCAGAAAAATTTAATGCCTGGTTTATGCTTCGGTCTTAACCCTAAAATCCTAAAATTCAGCCAATAGGTCTGCCAGTCTTAATTGGTCCTAATTAAAATCTGTATTCCATTGGTTGAATTTTAGGATTTTAGGATTAAGACCGAAGCATAAACCAGGCATTAAGAAAAACTATATAGATTGAGACAAGATCTTAGAAATTATTAGTTTTTCATAGTGGGGGACATAAAGCAACGTTGTTTCTTTGAAAAATTTAAAAATCCTCCGTTATTCTACGTCTCACTACGAATATCTACGAAAAACTAAGAATCTCTAAAGCTGATTCTACAATGAGTTGGTAATACGAAAGATTGGAAGGACTTCGTATTTTGAATACTAAGATTGTGACATCCATTCTTATTCTTCGAATTACAAAATACAAAAAACTTTTAATCTTTCGATTTTAAATACAAAGTACATAATACTTTCATATGTTCCACTGAAATACAAACTATATTTGTATTACAAATGTGTCTTAAATAAAAATATTTTAAATGCATGCGTAGTCATGAAATAGGAAATAAGAATAGGGAATAATACACAATAAATTTCAATCTATTAAAAATTGCTGTGCATTGGTACAGTTTCTGATTAAAATTTATTACCTATGTTATTTCTTGTTCTTCTGCTTCCTATTATCTGCATTTGTTATTGTGCTTGTACTTTTCATCATACCTGAGTCCTTATACTTTAAAAATAGATGATCTAAACATTTTATAATAATGCCTGTACATTCTATATAATGGAATACATTTCAGAATTACTTCACTATTAAAAGGCAAAGCTATAAAAGAGGAAGACGTGCCGTTGTGGTTGATAGTATATGAAGCTTTTCCCCCGAAATATGAACCGAGATTCGACAGACAGCTGCCAAAGAAGCCAGTTACACCTATCTTTTATAAAGAGGATTTTATTCGAGCGTAAGACATCTTAATATGTTCAATAAAATATTTATATTATACTATGCAAATATATTTTTTATTACAGAAAGTTTCATAATGATCAGACATTTATACCAGCTACTAATTTGGCAAACGAAAATGTAAAATCTGCAACGCAGAACTTTCTATCCATGTACCAAACGATAAAAAAGGTAAATTATTCAATCTATCAATTAAATTAATTTTTTAATAATACTAAGAATACATTTAATTGATAGGAAGAACTGTCAGAAAATGAAGCATACGAACAGGCGATGGAGCAGTACGTTTCTGAAATGGAAATAAAAATGGAATCGAGGAGAGAGAATGAATCAAGTTCCGATTCGTCCAGAAGCTCTAAGTGACTAAAAACATATATTCTTACCGTAAGTTCTGTTGTAAATAAAGATCTTATTATTTAACATCTGATATCTGTGTTAAATGCTATCCTACATTGTTGTGATACTGACAGAAATATACGTAATTAACGAGTCTTGTTCAACAACAGTGTTTATATTTCGTGACAATCAATACATTAAATAACAATGAGTTCCTGCAAAATTAACTTATATCGATAAGTGAGATGATAACTATAATGATCCTCACGATGAGTAAACATGAATTTACAATGATGTACTTAATGTACAGAGATCAATCGCATAGAATTTTCAGTCACAATAATTAATTATTCGTTACACAACGTTAATCATATTTCAAGGCATATGTGACAATAATTGTATAGGATGATAATTTCTATTTCTTTACTATGTGATTGAAGTTTGGAGCGTCAATGGTCTTAGACATTGCTCTCGCACTTGTAGATTTTGCCAGACAAACGTAGGAAATTTGCGATTGCATGTACAGAGGTACGCGTGGGACTTTTCAATTATTCGGAGCCCTTCCGAGTAAAGGATCTCGACGAATTATTTTTTTTTCTATCATCAATGATTTCAGACATTATCCTACTTTGATTCCAAACAGGAACAAGCGTAAGAAATTTTCGGTCATACATACGAGAGATCGTCAATTGTCTGTTTAGTTTGGACTTACTTTTAATCTTCGCTCCATGAACGCTTCAAACTTCAATCACATTCCTTTACAATAGTCATATTAGAAAAAAGGGGATACAAGCTGCGTATATCACTGTGATTCGCTTTACGCGCTGCAGGTACGAGTAATTAAAAAAATAATTATAAAATGCGCTACAAATTAAAGATATAGAATCAGTGCACCTCGAACGCGCTGGTTCGAGAATAACAGCCAAAGATGTACGCATCGTACATTATTGAAAATATTCTCGACCAACCACATCACATTTCCTAAAGATAATATCCATTTAGACCTTTAAATGCCGCTTCTCGTTTAAATGAGTTACGGGTGAATTAAATGTGTTGTATTGTATTACAATGTTACATTCCATTTTTATTTTATTGCTATAAGCTATTGAAAGATATAAAAAATGCTTAAATATATAGAGAAGGAACGAATATCTATTAAACAAAAGAAAATTTCTAGCAAATAGAAGAACTTATTATTAAGTGTAATTAAAAAACATTATAATTAAAAATAATATAACATTTTTTTATGACAATATTTTACATTCTTTTTTTCACTGAGTATTTCATATCACATCGATTACGTTTGGGATACACTGATTATTCATATAATTAAATAAAATGAGTCGACGTATATATGCCCGTTTCCACCAATATAGATTAATCTTGGTTCAATTTACTCTTCATCTTTTTCTAGTTCTAAGAGTTAGAGCTGGCTGCACCATTAACTTGATCGATTAAGTGTCAACCGTGATGATCAATTCCAATGAAATAATCGGCCGATTAAGTTAATCGAAATGATAGAAATTGGCTTTTAGAAAAAGATGAAAAGTTTGAACAGAGATTAATCTACATTGGTAGAAACACAGGCACTAATGATTTTATTGAGCAAGATGCTTCTAATGTGTATGTGTATTCTTGTAATATTGTAGTAGAGTAATGTTAATATATATTTATACATCATGTCCCACAACCTTCGGTTCGGTTAGAGTTAGGCTGTTTTCCTTTTAGGAAACACAAACATCATTCTACTCTTCTCGGAATTCAATGAATAACAAAGATAAAACGATACTTAAGACTGTGTCTCCTAAAAAGAAAGTAGCTTTAATCCCTGTAAAAACTTACAGTGCAGTGAAAGATATTACTTTGGACGTGATGTAACTAAATCGCGAAGATAGTATGATTTAGAAATCGTATTTCTATATCGACTCAAGATTACGACGTTAATTTCAGCAGTAAGACTTATCGAAATCTTAATACTAATGAGATATTATAAAAGGTAATATTGATGGTGCTAAAAATAGCTCTTTGTTATCTAAACCAGCTCAATTAATATCAGTTAATATTCGAAAAACGTTTTCCTTCTTTTATCCCGTCTTGCAATGACAAAAAACAGATTGCATTACCTTCTCTTCCATTAGTTATATAAATATTTATATAGCGCAACTCTCATAGAGTCCGATTATACTTACGCAAGCAGAAACGTACGTTAAAATACCATTAGATTATTTGCTTAAGATTTAGTTTTATACAAAATAAGAATGTTATTCTCTTATACTTGGTAATGCTGTGATTTGGACGAACGAAAGAATATCAACTTACAACCTGTGATGCAGAGTATTCGTTAATAAGAGTACTCGTGAGAAAACTCAAGTTCCGTGAGAGTTGTAATGTCATCATTTCCTTTTTCAATCTTTATAAAGACGGTTTCTTTCTCGAGCACGCTTATTAGCACAATCAGCATTCTTTACGTACTAGGTACTATAATATTGGACGTATAAGATTCACTGCTGAGCCCATATATTGCTCAATTGAACCTCGCACCACTTAAGCACTTCCGGTATTATGTTGCCAAAGAAGAGAACCGTGTGATCTTATCATGAACTTCATCGCTTTTCAAATTTTCGCCATACCGAATTATAATCACTCGTATATTGGCACCGAATTTCCGTATAATGAAAACTTTCTTCGGCACTCATTGAAAAATCGCTGGATCAGAGTAGATCCGTCTTCTTGCCCTCTTACTACGCATTCTGTATTAAATGTAGCTTATTTGTTATACCATTATTTTTGTATAAGATAAAGTCAGACGGATCGCGTGTAATGCTAAAAAACGATCGCCAAATGCACCTGAGGATGTGGACCTTACGATTTCCGAGGGAATCAAGCTGCCGACCAGTTTTCCGATCTCCAAAGCAGGGTATACATGCCGTGCCTGAGTTCTTCGTTTTCCAGACTCTTCAAAGGGAAATCGGTATATCGCGCGATCAGGCTGCGATATCCCTGACCGACGGTCGCCAGTACTGTCTTCCTCTTGTCGGTGGACTTGAGGGACACAATCTGGCAGACTTTACCCTCGAACGGCCGGAACACAGTGACGGGACGAAGGGTACCGCACTCGGCAACGACGATGCAACCCCAGGTAGTGCCGATGTATAACTGACCGCAGCTGGCCTCGAGTGCGGTCACCTGACACTTTTCCGTAGACAAGTTTTCCTCGATTGCGATGGACTTGAGACTCTCGGAACACGGTACCAGTTTAGACATGTCGAGTTTATTGATGATCTGCCGGCTGTCTACGTCCCACTGGTACACGACGCAGCCTGGATATGTATACGAGAAAACGAAGCTCTCGGTCGTCACGCCGATTAGATACGTGGCAAACAGATTCTTCATCGCGGCGTCATTGGCGGAGCAGTGAGACAGCTGCGTCGTGTCAGCCAGGTTGCCATCCTTCAGAGTGTAAATGGATATCCGACCATAACTTTGACCAGCCCAGAGCTCCAGCACACGTCTCTTACGGCAGACCGCGGCAAGCGAGTAGGTCTTTACGTCAGCATTGTGGCGCGTCATTTCCGTGCCACTGTTGCCGCCAGTGATCTCAGTCTTCTTCATCTGCATGAATGTGTTGGACAGCAGAAAGATCCGGCCGCTGTGCAAAGCCACAGCAAATTGCTTCAACTGTTCCAGGTGAATCAGCCCGACCACTTTAGACTCCCGGCTGTGATCTGCCTCTAGATTGTAGCTGGCCACACAGCCAAAGTTACCGCATAAATAGACGTGTACCTGACCAGCATTGTCGCCAATCCAGATATAGCCGTCCACGCCGCACATGGCGTACGGTATCACAGGTGTTTCAATGCGTACGTGGCGTAGCCAGCCTTTTTGAGTACCTAATAGCATGTCCACCTCACCGTTATTGTGTCCGAACCAAATCTCATCGCTATTTAGACTCTCTGTTGCATCATTCGATCCGCCGCTGCCGCAATGATTGGTCATGGTGACCGCAGTCACTTGTGTGCGTTCTGTCAACAGAGTGACATCTATTAGATGCGTGAACTCGGGCGCGGAGGTAATTGAGACAATCTGACTTGCAGTTGGCCGATCCTTCGGATTCTGTGCCCAGCATATCACCATTAAATCGAGTGCGTAACATGGATGGAAAGTCTCACGGTACATGAGCGGTGGTCTACCGCCCTCCAAAATGCACTCCTTCACCGCCTCGTGGCCCTCAAACGGTTGGCGCAGTGTGATGAGCTCATAGATGAACATGCCGAACGAGAACGAATCCACTTTTTCCGTGTATTCCTCCTCGCCATTGTATCTGATGATCTCAGGTGCCATGAAGCCTTCTGTGCCTCCAAAACCTTTCGCTCCTGTAGGCAGCGTCAGTCTCGAAATACCGTAATCAGCGACTTTGACGTGCGCAGGTTCCGGATTCTCTTGAAATGGTAACGGCATCTGCCATACCAACACGTTCTCCGATTTGAGATCGCGGTAAATAACGTGTTGCTGATGCAGATACTCCACAGCCTTAGCGACCTGAAGGATTACCGCCTGAAGCGTGTAAGGATCCAACTTAGCACCGGAGCGACGATAGTTTTTCAAAACGGCATCCAACGCGCCCTGAGGTGCCAGGTCTAATACGAGAGCCAGAGGACTGACGACTATACCTATCAATGGCACGATATTAGTATGTCTGAGTGTTAGTAAAATATTGAGCTCTTGGCGCGCCATACAATACGCTTTACAAGCGTACTGCAACGGGTCACGGTCCCATTTACTTTGTGATGCCTTGTATGCGAGGATTGCCGACTGCGTAGAATTTGGCCCCGGTGAGACTGGTTGCAACATTTTGATGGCCACGTCAGCGCGAACATGTGTGCCGGGTAATCGGCAGCTGCCACGAAAGACGAAACCAAAGGCCCCACGACCTAGTAACTTGCCCCGCTTCAAATCCTCCGACTTAATCAGGTGTTTGACGCCCAAATCCATGAAGATGATGTCCGGCGCGACGTGTGATAGCGGGATCTCCAAATGCTTCGGACAACTGATGGGCTTGTTGCTGTACGCTGCCAGTATGCATTCCTCCACCATCCAGGAGTATGCAAGAGTATTCTCGAGATTTGAATTCTGTTGCTTTGACATATCCGGATGTCCCTCGAGTGACGGCATCCTGCTGGACGTCAGACTATCATAACCGACGCCGCTATCGCCGTCGGACTTATAGCTGTCCTGACTCTGCCTCTCAGTGCGATTCATGGCGCAGTACTTCTGAATATCTTCGATCAGTCGGCCATCGCTGTCGCTTAACTCGCTATCACCATTCTCGGTGTTGCCGAGTAAACAACGCGGACACGGTATCAATCTTGTGACTAGCAGTTTACCTTCCGATGTATGGACGAAACGCGTGCCTAGTGTCGGATACCAATCTTCCAGCAAGATATCGATGTGATCGACGATCAATGCCATCAACTGTGGCATACTCTCTGGCCGTGGCTCTACCACGATCGCTTGGTAGCCCATCGGCTCCTCGTCCACAGAATCGGACATGATGGGTTGCTTAATCACCAGGGTATCTACTGGAAACCAAATTTCTAGAATGGCGGAATTTTTCAGGTCTACTGTGCACCAAATACCGTCTTGTTTTAACTTGAACTTAAATTGTCTGTAATCGTACGGCGAGTTCTTCAGATTATAGCAGACTTCTTTTAGACGTAATAAGGTAATTCCCGAGTATCGCAACTCGATCCCCGTCTGCCAGAGCACCCACTCGGCCTGTAGATCTAGCAAACTAGCAAAAATATTGTCGTCGACGAAATCCTTGAATGGCGCCAAAAACGACATGACGATATCGACGATGGCGTCATCCGCGAGGATCCGAGTAATCAGTCGGGACCAAAAACCACTAGGAAAATATGACATGAGTAATAGTCTGGTGACGGAACAATCGGGTTGCGATCTCGACGTGAGCACGCATTCGGCGTTATTTTTATTGTCACTGGTTAGCGCACTCAAGCACGCGAACATAGGCGACGTGATCTTCTTCACACGTACATGCCAGCCGCGCGTCTTCACCGGCACCTTGATTATCTGATTATTGCGTAAAATATCTTCTTCAGTCGGTAGGAGGGATGGTATCA